CCCCCGCCGCTGCACACACACACACAACCCCACGCTCCATCACTCCCCCACCCCAATCTTACCTCCTTTTACTTCACGCCACCTCCAAACCCCACCCCGCCCCTTCCCGCCCTGTCAAAATCTAGGAAAGACAGGAAGGAAGGAAAGAAGGAAGAAAGAGAAAGGGAGGTAAAGAAAAAGGGGGAAGGAAAGTTAGAGAAAGAAGGAAGAAGAAAAGGAAAGAAAAGGAAAGATGGAAGGAAAGAAAAGAGAGACAGCAGAAAAGAAAGAAAAAGGGGGAAGGAAGGAAAGAGATAGAGAAAGAAGAGGAGAAGGAAAGATGGGAGGGAAGGAAGGAAGGAAGGAGGGAAAGAAGGAGAGAAAGAGGGAAGATTGGCCACAGCAACACGTGGCGGGTAAAGGTTGTTATTTCTATTATTATTATTATTATTATTATTATTATTATTATTATTATTATTATTATTATTATGCTATTGTTCCTATGAGACCCTTTTAGGGGGAATGGGAGAGGTGTCAGGTCCCAGAGGCAATGCATTGCATTATTGTTATTGTTATGATGGTGGTAAAATAAAAGGAAATAAAAAGTGAAAGAAGGAAGCAAACAGGGAGGGAAGAAAGGCAAAGGAAGAAAGGGGGAGGGAATGAAGGAAAGAGAGAAGGATGAAACCAAGTAGTGAAAGAAAGAAAGAGGTAGAGAAGGAAGAAAGAAGAGAAAGGGGGAGGAAAAGGGGGAAGGAATAGGTAGGGACCTCTCTTTCATAATAGTCCAGATATCTACCTCAACTTTGATAAGTTTTACTATAGGCCACAGCAACGCGTGGCAGGGCACAGCTAGTAATAATAATAAAACATCTGAAAATACTGCTCCTGGGAACCATATCATTATTACATATTGCTCTAGGGTAATAAGGGTTCATTAAAATACAGATTGGTCACCCTAAATAATAATCATCATCATCAGCAGCAGCAGCAGCAGCAGCATCATGGGCTGAAAATAGTGGGAACTTTACCATTATTACATATTGTTGTTGTCATAAAGCGTTCATTAAAATACGAATTGATCATCCCATAATAATAATAATAATAATAATAGTAATAATAATAATAATAAGCACAACAGGTTAATTGCCATCTGCAGTAAATGTTGCCAACCAAAAGGTTGTCAGTTTGAAGCCCGTGTCAGGTTTAACTCCTGGCTTTTAGTCCAGCTTCTGCCTACCTAGCAGTTTCAAAAACAGCAATGTGAGTAGTTAAAGAGGAACCCTTTAAGTGGGGAGAGAAGGGCGGAATAGAAATACTGTAAATAAATAAATGTTAAAACAGTGCTCTGGGGAACTATATTATTACTACACCTTCATCATCATGTTAAAACATATGCCAAAATAGTTCTCCTGGGAACTATATTATTATATATAATTATATATTATTGTTGCTGTTATTATTATTATTATTAGAAGCACAGAATCCTAGATTTAAGAGGGATCCCAAGGGCCCATCCAGTCCCACCCCTATCTGCTAGTCAGGAAGGCACCATCCAATCCCTCCCAGCAGATGGCCTTCTAACCTCTGCTGCTGCTTCTTTTTCTTCTTCTTCTTCAATACATAACAAGATTAGGACACAGCAAACAAGATCCCTATGCTGACTTTTGTATTGGATCACATATCGGACACTTCCAAGGGTCTAGGACTGTGTGATATATCGGTGAATAATGCATGCAGATCCAAGTAGGGTAGCCTTTTGCAGCTGACAGTAATTTTGTCAGTGCTGATTGTTTTTAAGTGCAAGCCAAGGTCTTTAGGCACTGCACCCAGTGTGATCAACACTGGGACCACCTTTACTGGCTTGTGCCAGAGTCTTTGCAGTTCTATATTATTATTATTATTATTATTATTATTATTATTATTATTATTATTATTTATTTATTAGGGGACCACCAACTTGTATTTTGATGGGCCCTTTATGATACATTATTCTCGGCACATGTTTTGACATGGAATGAATTGCTCCCCTCCCAGCCCTGAAGCCTCTTTCCCTTCTTCTCTCTCCTTTCTCCCCCTTTTAAAACAAATATGTCATGGCCCAAACATCTCTATTACTCGAACGTTTGTTTTAAAGCCTTGGAAAGTAAGACGCAGAGATTTCCCCTCCAGGCTCCCAGCGAAGAGCAAGAAAGGACTTGAATCAGCGATTATTCTTTAAGAGATGATTTCAATTTTTGGTTTAAAAAGGGAGAAATGAACAACTCAAAAATTACTGCATAAAGAAGGGCTGGAGAGGAATCCTTACACAGGTTTCCATATTAGGAAATATTTCTGCACAGTTTTGTTTGGGTAAATGAACACCATGACATTGTGTAATTAATGAAATGGAAAAAAATGCATAATGCAAAAAAATGCACCATTAAGAGGATGTCAACGTTAAACTCCATTTTAATATTTCTATGTTACAGTTGTCTTTTCAAGAGTCTCTTTGAAGAGATAATAATAATAATAATAATAATAATAATAATAATAATAATAATTTTTGTAATAATATGTCCAAGAGCCCTGCCAATGTCCTCTACAAACACCACACTGCCCACCACCGAAGTGGAGGATTTCATTCGGGGGCAATTCCATTCTAGATTTTACATGTTTCCTCCACCACAGACATCCCAGTGTTTCTGAATTTCTCCATTGGTGTGGAATTTGCATGACACCAGCCACTGCCTCTCCCTTAATTCTTTCCTATTATTTTCTATGGCACACAGCAAACAAAGGAATTGATCAGCAACTGAACATACTAGAGAAGTTTGGGGAGAATTCACCATGATTTATAGAAGTTGTCGGTACTGGGATGTATAGTTCACTTGCAATCTAAGAGCCCTCTGAACTCCACCAGCAATGGACCTGGAACTAACTTGGCACACAGAACAGCCATGACCAACAAAACATACTGGAAGTCTTTGGAAGGATTTATCGTTGTTTACCTGCATCCAGAATGCACTATGAATCCAAAAAATGATGGATCTGGACCAAACTTGGTATGCATACTCAATATGCCCAAATTTGAATACTAGTGGGTTTTAAGGGGAATTGGCCTGGACATTTTGGACTTGTAGGTATTGGGATTTATGTTGTTGTTTATTCATTCAGTCGCTTCCGACTCTTTGTGACCTCATGGACCAGCCCACGCCAGAGCTCCCCGTCGGCTGTCACCACCCCCAGCTCCTTCAAAGTCAAGCCAGTCACTTCAAGGATGTCATCCATCCATCTTGCCCTTGGTCGGCCCTCTTCCTTTTGCCTTCCATTTCCCCCACTATCATTGCCTTCTCTAAGCTTTCCTTCTCATGATGTGGCCAAAGTACTTCATCTTCGCCTCTACTATCCGTCCCTCCAATGAGCAGTCGGGCTTTATTTCCTGAAGTATGGATTGGTTGGATCTTCTGGCAGTCCAAGACGCTCTCAGAACTTTCCTCCAACACCACAGTTCAAAAACATCTATTTTCCTTTGCTCAGTCTTCCCTATGGTCCAGCTCTCACATCCGGAGGTGACTATGGGGAATACCATTGCTTTGACTAGGCGGATCTTCGTTGCCAGTGTGATGTCTCTACTCTTCACTATTTTATCGAGATTGGTCATAACTCTCCTCCCAAGAAGTAAGCGTCTCCTGATTTCCTGGCTGCAGTTTGCGTCTGCGGTCATCTTTGCACCTAGAAATACAAAGTCTGTCACTGCCTCCACGTTTTCTCCCTCTATTTGCCAGTTATCAATCAGTCTTGTTGCCATAATCTTGTTTTTTTTATGTTTAACTGCAACCCAGCTTTTGCACTTTCTTCTTTCACCTTGATTAGAAGGCTAATCAGTTACTCCTCGCTTTCAGCTATCAAAGTGGTGTCATCTGCATATCTAAGGTTGTTAATGTTTCTTCCAGCTATTTTGACCCCAGCCTTGCATTCGTCAAGCCCTGCACATCACATATAAACTGGAATTTATAGTTCATCTGAAATCAGTGAGCACTCTGAACTCCACCAAAGATGAAACTGCACCAAACACAGAGCCCCCATGATGAGGAAAAAATACTGGAGGTCTTTGGGGGAAATTCACTTTGATTTGGGGGAGTTTTGGTTCATCCAGAAAGCACTGAGAACCCAAACACCGATAGATCTGTACCAAACTTGGCACCGATGCCTGATATGCCAGAATTTGATTAGTGGAGGGGTTTGGGGGAACTGCCTTTCCTTTCTGGGAGTTGTAGTTCATTCACAACCAGAGAAACTTTGACCTCCACCGATGAGGGACCTGGACCAAACTTGGCACACAGAACCCCCATGACAAACTCAACCTACTAGAGAGGTTTGAGGGGACTGACCCACCATAGTGGGACTTGTAGTTTACCCTTCAGCCAGAGAGAGCACACTGAACCCCACCGATGATGCATCTAGAGCAGACTTACCCAACATAACAAATTTCAAGTAGTGATGAAGTTTTGTGGGGTTAGCCTGGCATGATGCGAGTTGTAGTTCACCCAGAATCTCATGCATTCTGTGCAATTAAAAACTGACTTTTTCAAATAATCCAGGCAACACTGGGGACCCAAGCTGGTGTCCTCAAGGGACTCTCTGAATTTGGGCTGAGTCCTATAGATTATGGTCGTTTTGAGTTTGCATGTCAAAAGGGATTCCACCTTTTTTCTGAAGTTTTTTTAGGCAGTGGCTGGATGGCCATTTGTCGGGAGGGATCGCATGGTGTTTTCCTTTATGGCAGAAGGGGGTTGGTTCTTGGGGTCTCTTCCAATGCCAGGATTCTAGGATTCAATAGCCCTATTTCTCTCCATGCAGCTTCTAATGTCTATGAGTCTGGATGGCCATCTGTCGGGAGGGATTGGATGGTGTCTTCTTGCCTGGCAAAATTGGATTGGACTGGATGGTCCTTGAGAGTCTCTTTCAACTCTCGGATTCTATGAAATCATAGTAGTCCAGATAGAGTAACATTGGATCAGTAACAAAGAAATAATACATAACAACAACAACAACAATTTTTATTTGTTACCAATCTATCATTTCAGGAGGGCTTCAATAGTGCCTTTCTTTATGGCTGGCCGAAAGAGGATGGATCAGATGGCCTTTGGGGGTCCCCTTCCAACTCTAGTGGGATATAGGCTGCCTAGGAAACCCTAATAGAAAAATACAGCAATATATGCCACCATAAGACAAACACACAAATAGAGGGAACTCTGTTTTGGTCCGTTTGTTAAACAAGTCCAGAAAAGGATGAGCGAAGTCCAGAGTTTCCTGGGTCATCTGCAAATGTGATTCTCTCTCTCTTATTTTTTTAAAAAAATAACACACACCCAAAATAAAGATATGTACAAACACAAACAAGCAGTTCGTTCAGGTCGGGGAGCGGTAGCTGTAATGGTTGTGATCTGGTTCATTCAAGGGAAGGGGGACGTTGGCCTTGGCGTCCTTCTCCGCAGAAGGCAACTGGGGCCGCTGCTTGAAGAAGTCGGAGATGTAGCGGACCTGGGGGCAAAAGAAAGACAACAACAAATTTAAATCAGTGACATCATGCATATTCTAATCAGTATTGGCTGCCATACTGTGACATCACATTTTTTCCAATCACGACTATCTTGCTACTGTGACATCAGGAATATTGTAATCACTATTAGCTTTTTTTGTGTCAGGAGCAACTTGAGAAACTGCAAGTCACTTTTGGTATGAGAGAATTGGCGGTCTGCAAGGACGTTGCCCAAGGGACGCCCTGATGTTTTGATTTTTACCATCCTTGTGGGAGACTTCTCTCATGTCCCTGCATGAGGAGCTGGAGCTGACAGAGGGAGCTCATCTGTGCTCTCCCTGGATTCAAATCTACAACCTATCAGTCTTCAGTCCTGCCAGCACAAGGGTTTAACCCATTGTGCCACTGGGGGCTCATCACTATTAGCTGAGCTACTGTGACATCAGGAGTATTCTAATTACTATAGTCTGCACTACTGTGACATCAGGAATATTCTAATCACTATTTTCGGCACTACTGTGACATCAGGAATATTCTAATCACTACTGTCTGTGACATCAGGAATATTCTAATTACTATTAGCTGAACAACTGTGACATTACGAATATTCTAATCATTACTGTCTGCACTACTGTGACATCGGGAATATTCTAATCACTGTTGTAGGCACTACTGTGATATCAGGAATATTCTAATCACTATTAGCTGAACTACTGTGACATCAGGAATATTCTAGTCACTCTTGTGGGCACTACTGTGACATCAGGAATATTCTAATCACTATTGTTTGCACTACTGTGAGGTCAGGAATATTCTGATCACTATTGTCGGCACAACTGTGGCATCAGGAATATTCTGATCACTATTGTTGGCACTACTGTGGCATCAGGAATATTCTAATCACTACTGTCAGCACTACTGTGGCATCAGGAATATTCTAATTACTATTAGCTGAACTACTGTGACATCACGAATATTCTAATCACTACTGTCTGCACTACTGTGACATCAACAATATTCTAACAATATTGTCTCAACTACTGTGAAATTGAGAATATTCTAATCGCTATTGTCTGCACTACTGTGATATCAGGAATATTCTAAACACTGTTATCTGCACTACTGTGACATCAGGAATATTCTAATCACTATTGTCGGCACTACTGTGACATCAGGAATATTCTAGTTCATATTGGCTGAGCTTTTTTGTCATCACGAATATTCTGATCAATATGGAAGTGAGTTGCTGTGACATCACAAATACCCTAATCAATATGGGCTGAACTTCAATGACATCATGAATATTATAATTGCTATTGGCTGAGCTACACTGACATCACGAAACACCCACAGAGACACCCACCACAAGGATGGCGATGAGAGCTCCTTGGAGGAGGCCCATCAAAACGTCGCTCCAGTGGTGCTTATAATCTGAGACGCGGCTGTACCCCACAAAGATGGCGAAGGAGAAGAGGAAGAACTGGATGGTGGGGCGCACCAGCCGGGCCCATCGCCCCACCAGCCGGGCCTGGACGTAGAGCTGGAATGGAAAGGAAACTGGGATAAAGAAAAGAGGCATGGTCCCACCACTGTGATCCCGTAATGAACCAAGCCAATGAGATTCTAGGCTGCGTCAATTGAAGTGGCCCTTTGTGTTCAAAGGGTTACGTACCGCGAGAAACATCATGCAGTACATCCCAAAGGAGGAGTGTCCCGAATAGAACGACAACCTGGAGAGGAGAGAAGAAGAAGAGTGGATATAATTAAAGATATTTTAAAGGGTGTCCCATTGAGGAGACAGGGGCAATACTTGTTTTCTACTGCTCTAGAGGACATGGAGGCTGGGAAGGCTGTAGTGGTGTCTTGCCAAAATGGGGTTGGACTAGGTGGCCTTTGGGATCCCTTCCAACCCTAGGATTTTTTGACCCTATTTCCTTGTTAACGTGCTAATGTCTATGAGGATGGAAGGTCCTCTGTTGGGAGGGATTTAATCGTGTCTTCACAGAATGGAGTTAGACTAGATGGTCTTTGGGGTCCCCTCCAACCCTAGGATTCTTTGATCCTATTTTCCCATGAAGTTGCTAATGTGTCTTTGTAGCTGCATGGCCCACTATTGGGAGGGTTTTGATGCTGTCTGGGGTTAGGACTGTATGGCATTTGGTGGTTCCTTCCAACTCTATGGACTTCAAGTTCTCCCTCCTGACCTGGACTCGGTGACGTTCCTGGCTCCTCCGCGGCAGAGCCCTTCCAGCTGGACGTAGATGGAGCAGTTCACTTTGGACCAATCCGGGTCGCAGACTGCCAGGAAGTTGGGCCTCAAGCGGCCGATCATGTACTTGGCCAGGTCCGTTAGGGACTGGCTGACTGCCCCTCCGAAGAGGAAGGTCCCCACCACTTTGTAGAGAGCGGCTAGGTAGTTGTTGAACCCGGAGCGCGAGTAAAGGCGTTCGGTGTAGACGAGGTAGGCTTCTCCGGCCGAAACCTATGCATAAAAGCATATGTAGAACCAATGGAAGAGGGAAGGTCTACAGCAGAGTGGAGCCTACCTTCCGCTGGCCCTTTAAGAACAATATATCGTGTCACTTACAATGATAACAGTGCATGGGATGGTGACGCCGGCCATCACACCGTGGGTAATGGTGTCCGGCTTGTAGGGATAGCGGATGGACTCGTCGTCGCAATAAAAGCCCCGTTGGTAGGGAGAGTTGACCCCAGTGAGGATGATGAAGGGCAAGGAGGCTGCAAGGATAAAGACATACGGGGTATAAACCAACACAGGACAAAGATTAAAGGACAGTAAACACAGATCCTTGGAAACCTTTCCCATCATCTTAAATCAACGCCATAATTACTTGAAACCTTTCTCATCATGTCCAATAACAACAACAATTAGATTCATAGAGTTGAAAGAGACAACATAGAGTTGGAGTCTCTTCCAACTCATAGAGTTGGAAGAGACTCCAAAGGCCATCTAGTCTCTTACCTGCCTCAAACCAAGAAATACAACAAGAATTATAATTGGAAATGATGGGACTCATAATGAGACATGGGGAAGAAATTATTATTATTTATTATTTCGAGGTTTTATATACCGACCCTCTCACCTTCAAAAGGGATTCGGACCGGTTCACAACATGTGTTAACATACAAAGAATATACAATAACAACACAATGCCACTTCATAACACGATTAAAATATCAGCACTATACACATTAAAACATTATCATCACAGTTAAAAGAGCCAAATCGTCCGACACCATCACAATCCCATTCATCATCCTCCTTTCATGTGGGCAAAGAATTAAATCAGTTGTCAAATGCCGCGTTCCACAACCAGGTCTTTGTTAGTTTCCTGAACGTCATGAGGGAGGGGGCAGTTCTGATCTCTAATGGCAGGGAGTTCCAAAGTCGAGGGGCCACCATCGAGAAGGCCCTGTCCCTCGTCCCCACCAGCCGTGCTTGTGCAGGCGGTGGGACCGAGAGCAGGGCCCCTCCAGACGATCTTAGTGGTCTTGATGGTTCGTAGGGGAGAATACGTTCGGAGAGATGATGATGATAATAATAATCTATACACAATAATAAAAGTGACACTAATGGCCCTCCCTCCAATGACATTGCATATACTACTACTAACAACAACAAATATAATAATGCAAATAAGTACCTCTACACATAATAAAAGTGAAAATATGTATGTTGGCTGGGGTGTTCAGTTGTATAGACAAGCTCCTATCTCCACAAATAGCTATAGCTCCCACGGCTCAGGAGACACCAATGGCCCTCCCTCCAATGACATTTCAGGTTATGGTGAAGGCCATGAACATGTCAATGTCCTCCACAAACACCATACTGCCCACCAGCCAAGTGAAGGCATTCGTTCAGGGACAACTTCATCCTAGATTGTATGTGTTTCATCCACCACAGGCATCCCAGTGTTTCTTACTCTCTCCATTGGTGTGGAATTTGCATGACTCCACCCACTGCCTCTCCCTTCACCCATTCCTACTCTTTTCTATGGCACACAGCAAGTAGAGGAACTGATCAGCAACTGAACATACTAGAGTTGAAAAGTTGAACGTACTGGGATGTATAGTTCACCTGCAATCTAAGAGCACTCTGAACTCCACCAACAATGGACCTGGAAGCAACTTGGCAGACACAACCCCCATGACCAGCAAAAAATACTGGAGGGATTTATAGGAGTTGTACTCAACCTACATTCAGAGCTCACTAGGGATGCAAACAATTGTGGATATGGACCAAACTTGGTATGCATACCTGATACGCCCAAATGTGAATGGGTGGGTTTTGAGGGGAATTGGCCAGGACATTTTGGAGTTGTAGGTACTGGGATTTATAGTTCACCTGCAATCAATTATTACTCTGAACGCCACCAAAGATGGAATTCGACCAAATTTGGCACACAAAGCCCCCATGACCAGCAAAAAATACTGAATGTCTTTGTGGAAAATTCACCTTGATTTGGAGGAGTTGCAGTTCACCTACATCAAAAGAGAACTTTTAACCCAAACACCGATGGATCTGGACCAAACTTGGCACACAGACCTGATATGCCAAAATTTGAATCCTGGAGGGGTTTGGGAGGAAGTGACCTTTCTTTCTGGGAGTTGTAGTTCACCCACAACCAGAGAAACTGTGACCTCCACCGATGATGGACCTGAACCAAACTTGGCACACAGAACCCCCATGACCAACACAACCTAGTGGAGGGGTTTGAGGGGACTGACTCATCGTAGTGGGAGTTGTAGTTTGCCCTACAGCCAGAGAGCACACTGAACCCCACCAATGATGCATCTAGAGCAAACTTCCCCAATATAACAAACTTTACTGATGGAGTTTCAGGGAGTTCACATGGCATGATGGGAGATGTAGTTCTCCCACAACCTTATGCATTTTGTACAATTAAAAATTGACTAATAATAATAATAATAATAATAGGGTATGGTCTTAGTTAGACCTATTTTTTCATAGTACTCTCAAGCAACCAGAAACTGCATTTACCTGACATCGACCGATCCTCCTGAATCATATTGCATTCTAGGCTTTTTTTTGTTTTGCATTCTGTCTGAATTTGTATTTGTTTTACAAGTGTGCAGCATCGTTTCACATTTCTATCGCTACTTTTTTGTGCTTGTTTATAAATAGATATGTATGTATGTAAACACACACACATATTTGAATGCAAACACACCGGTTGTTAGCCTCCCGCCCCTTTTTTTTAATGAAGGTTGGACTCCTGCACTTTGTGCCCTTGGGAAACTGGATGAACCGGTTCAAAGGCAGGCTCTGTTGGTCACTCAACCTCTTTGGTTTCTCTTTTCAGGGAACAAAGGCCCTGCCTTTCCCAAATAAGACCAAATACTTCTTTTTCTTCTTGAGATTTGCCTTCTGTCCCCATAGCTCTAGCGTTGCAGGAATCCAACATTTCACCAAAAGATTGGGGAAGGATCCAAAGCCACACTTCCTCCCTCTAGTTCCACCCCCCCTCCCTTTCTTCCCTTTCTTCCCATTCCTTCCTTCCTTCCTTCCTTCTTTTTCTCTGTTTCCTACGTGCCTTTCTTTACCCCTTTATTCATTTCCTTCCCTTTGTTTCCTGTCTATCTTTCTTTCTCACTTTCCTCTCTTCCTTATCTCTGTTTACTTACTTTCTGCCTGCCTGCCTTCTCTTTATTTGTTTCCTACTTGCTTTTCTTTCTCCTATCTCTTCCTTCCCTCTCTTTCTCTTATTTGTTTCTATTTCCTACTTGTTTTTCTTGCTTTCTCCCTTTCTTCTCTTCCTTCCATCTGTTTCCTTTCTTTTTCTTTCTTTCTCTTTTTCCCGTTTCCTACCTGCCTTTCTTTACCCCTTTCTTCTTTTCCTTCCCTCTGTTTCCGGTCTTTCTTTCTAGCTTCCTTCTCTCTCTCTCCTTCCTTCTCTTATTTGTTTCTCTGTTCCATACTTGTCTTTCTTTCTCCCTTCTCTCCCTTCCCTCTCTTCCCTTATTTGCTTCTGTTTCCTACTTGTCTTTCTTTCTCCCATTCTTCCTTCCTTCCTTTTCTCCTTCCCTGTTTCCTACCTTCCTTTCTTCTCTCTCCATTTCCTGGTTGCCTTCCTTACTTCCTTCTGTTCTTCCTTTTCTCCTGTTTCCTTCCTTCCCTCTCTTTTTTCCTGTCTACTTTCCTTCCTTTCTTCTCTCCCTCCCCTCTCTTTCCTACCTACTTTTCTTTCACCCTTTCTTGTTAACAACAACAACATTTATTATGGTCCATAGACCCACCAGTAAAACCAACAGTCATAAATTCTCCCATCTCAGGAGAAATCCATTGTACATTTTTTTCCTCTCTGTTTCCTACCTTCTTTCCTTCTTTTCCTGTTTCCTACCTGCCTTCCTTCCTTCTCTCCTTCCCTCTCTGTTGTCTGCCTGCCTTCATTCTGTTCATCTTTTCTCCATCTCTCTCTTTTTCCTACAATCCTTTCTTCTCTGTTTCCTGCCTGCCTGCCTGCCTGCCTGCCTCCTTCCTTCCTTCCTTCCTTCCTTCCTTCCTTCCTTCCTTCCTTCCTTCCTTCCTTTTCTCCTTCCCTGCTTCCTTCCTTTTCTCCTTCCCTGTTTCCTACCTTCCTTTCTTCTCTCCCTCCTTCCTCTCCTTCCTTCACTTCCTTCTTTCTTCCTTTTCCTTCCTCTCTTTTTCCTACCCTCTCTCTCTTCTTCCTTCCTTCCCTTCTTCCCTTTCTCCTTCCCTTTCGCCTACCTTCCTTTCTCTTTCTTTTGCCTGCCTTCTTCCTTTCTTCCTCCTTTCCTCTCTTTTTCCTTTCTACTTTCCTTCCTTTCTTCTCTCCCTTCCCTCTTTCCTACCTGCCTTTCTTTCACCCTTTCTTGTTTTCCCTGTTTCCTACCTTCTTTCCTTCCTTTCCTGTTTCCTACCTGCCTTCTTTCCCTTTCTCTCCCTTTCCCCTAACTTTCTTCCCTCCCTCTCTGTTTCCTGCCTTCCTTCCTTCTGTTCTTTTTTTCTCCTTCCCTCTCTTTTTCCTATTTTCCTTTTTTTCTCTGTTTTCTGCCTTCCTTCTTTCCTTCTGTTCTTCCTTCCTTCTTTTCTTCCTTCCTCCTTCCCCCTCTTTTTCCTACTTTACTTTCTTCTCCCCGTTTCTTGCCTGCCTTCCGGTCGTTCTTCCTTTCTTCCTTTTCTCCTTCCCTCTCTTTTTCCTACATTCCTTTCTTCTCTCTCGGTTTCCTTCCTTCCTTTTCTCCTTCCCTCTCTTTTAAATTCTTCCTTTCTTTTCCTACTTTTTCTTTTTCTTTCTCCCCTCCTCCCTCCCCCTGTTTTGAGGAAAGATAGAAAAATGAAAGGAAAAGGAAGGAATGAAGATAAATCAAGATAACGTAATGCAACACAGTTTTACCGTATGATAACAAATAGTGTTGGGAATGCAGTGTGATTTCTTGGATGGGTTATACATATTTTGGGTCCAGTAATGGAGAGCCTGCTGTTTTTTTTTGGAAAGCTATGCCTGCCTGCCCTTCCAGCCAATTCTCACAAAATAGCAAGATCTGAATGCAAAGAAGATGAGGAGAGGCTTAATTTCCAGACTTGGACTCCATCTCCCAGCATCCCCCACTATGGCTCCTGGAGTTGATGGTCTTTGCAGTCCAACCTGACCTGGAGGGCAAATTTTGGCCAACATTTTTGTTTTAGATCAGTCTTGTAGGACCAAAAAGTCAAATGACTTTTATAATACATA